ACGCTGGAGAGCAAGTTTCAGAGTCTCTTCTGACATCCATTTTGACATTTTCCTTCTTTCTTGTCTTCTTAATGACTTTTTGCTCTTTTCACATATGCTGTTCTTGATGTCATCCCACAACTCTTTTGGTCTTCAGTCTTTAGTGTTTAATGTATCAAATCTGTTCTTCAGATGATCTCTAAATTCAGGTGGGATAAATTCAATTCTGTGTATTATTACTCTATTAAAGTAGTGGTTCTCAACCACAGCTGTTTGTACAATGTCTGGGGACACTTTTGGTTCTCACAATTGGGAGGTCGGTGAGTGCTACTGGCATATATTAGCTAGAGGTCAGGGATACTGCTAAACACCCAACAATGCCCAGGACAGCTCCCACAGCAAAGAGATGTTGTTGCTGTTTTGTACTGTCGAGTCAATTCTGACCCACAGTGACCCTGTATAGGATTTCCGAGGAGCGGCTGGTGAGCTTGAACCGCTGGCCTTGCAGTTCAAACTGACTTTGCAGTCCAGCACATTAACCCACAGCATCACACCAGGACTCCCAACCAAGAGATACCAAGTCCAAAATGTTAGTAGCGCCGAAGTGAAACTCTTATTTAATGGATAACCTGCGTTTGAAAAACAGGCTAAATTTTATTTTTCATACTGGAAAATAGAGCTCTCAGTAAGAGCTGATTCCATTCTCACCTTGCTCCTCTAATGCAATTACTCAAACTGCAAAATAAACCTGGTTTATAATCAGCATAATTCAAGCTGACCTATTGGATCATGTCATGATTTAAATGACATTTCTTTATGATTTCTGTATTTCAACGAACAACCTGTCTCTGCACACGTATATCTAATCACAAGAGAAAAGGTGTGAGGAACCTCATCATTTCAATTATAATTTTTCTTTCTAATGCCTAGTTCATTATAGAGCACTGAAATGTTGACAGAAACATGGTTTTAACAGCAGCATTCTTCAGAGGATTCCTTTTATCTAAAGTGGGTTAGTGCATTTGAAAATGCCTAATGTTTGACTGGTAGCGTAGTGGTTACGAATCGGGCTGCAAACCTTAAGGTCAGCGGTTCGAAACTACCAGCCGTTCCGTGGGAGAAAGATGAGGCTTTCTACTCCCGTAAGGATTTACACCCTCGGAAACCCTGTACAGGGTCGCTATGGGTCAGAACTGACTCGACGGCACTTAACAACAACAACAACAACAATGTTTGACAGATTTTGGGGTGGGGGGAGAGGACAACTTGCTAAACAGTGTTGTTTTGTAAAGGCAACCATAATAGTCATAGATCCACTCAGTTTGTTTTTTTCCTGTACACATCTATGGGAAAGAAATTTGTTAATAACGTAGTTTATATGCCAAATATGAAGACAACGTAAAGCAAACTGATGTCGTGTGTAGGACAAAGTCATACAATATATAGGTTTTGTGGGCTGGATGGCCTAGAAGGATTGCCCACGGCACACTGAACCTCACGCATAACGTCTCTCTCTGCATGGAGTTACTCTTTTCCATGATTTCATCATTAATCATACGCACAAAATGGACTGCTTAGAAATGAAGGTTTCATTCATTCTACAAAGCATGGTTGTTGTATTGTGAAGTGCCGTCGAGTCGGTTCCGACCCATAGTGACCCTGTACAGGGTTTCCAAGGGTGTAAATCTTTACGGGAGTAGAAAGCCTTATCTTTCTCCTGCGGAGCGGCCGATAGTTTTGAACTGCTGACCTTAAGGTTTGCAGCCCGATTCGTAACCACTACGCTACCAGAGCTCCTTACAAAGCATGGTAGGTGCCCAGATTTTTCATGAAGTCTTCAAAACACGTGGATTTACAACGTTGGGCTTCTGGTGAGAGAGGGATCCACAGAAGACAACAGCATTTCCCCACCTCACCTCCCCAGGCCAGAGGAAAGCACTCATGTTTTGGGGTCTTAGTACACCACTCTTGGCCATGCAGGGGGTGATTCTCAGAGACCACCGAGCTGCTGAGCACTGTTATAAAGGTGGTGGGACTGTACAGAGTCGGTTCTTGGTGGTCAGCCAGAGACATTGCTGTCGGGACAGGATGAAGGGGAAGGAAAAGACCTAGGCCCCAATTCTTGGCCCTTCCAAATGAAATGTTGCTGCTTGTTTGGAGTAGAGGCTGGGAAGCGGGGTGATGAGAGGGTGGGCAGTGGAATGGGCCTGCTTACCTCCTGCATTCTGTCCGAGGAACAGGGCCTAACTTCACTGGGGGAGACCTACTCCTACGGATCATTAGGTTTCCAAACCGATTGAGTTTGTATTGTTACCGGGTAGCTGCAGCTAACCGCGGACATTCTTGTTCCCTTTGTAACCAAGAAGAACCGAATGAACCGAGACTGGTTGGTGGCAACTGCCCCAGTGCTGTGAGCAGGAGTCCCTTGCACAGTCTGAGCTGTTAGTCATGAGACCATAACAACAATGAAGCTTTTTAGGAAACAAAGGCTCCCCGAATGACCTGTGCTTTAAGAGTATTTAGACAAAGCTCCTCCCCCTTTATAAAGGATGACTAGGGGCGCCCTGGACTGCAAGATCTATTTGAACCACAAAGTTAGCAGTTCAAACCCACCAGACGCTCCTCAGAAATTCTACACCGGGTCGCTATGAGTTGGAACGGACTTGATGTCACTTCATAACAACAGGGTCGTTCTAAGTCGGAATTGACTCGATGGCAGTGAGCTTAACTTTCATCTTGGCTTTGAGTCAATCCTAGAATGTGTCTTAAAATAGACAGTGTGACAAAGAGAGGCTAGTCTATGGATGACCAGAGGACAGTGGGGAAGAGGCAGGAATCACTCTAAAAGACTCTAAAGACCTAAATGCAACCAATCACCAGATGACCACTCAACGGTACCCCACAGCAGCCCTGGGAGACACTGATGCCTCCTGCCTCTGTTGTTCAGTGTCACTGAGTCGATTCTGACTCATAGTGACCCTCCGTATAGGGTTTCTGAGGAGCAGCTGGAGGGTTTGAACCACTGACCTTGCAATTAGCAGTCCAGTGCTCTCCTACAGCCTCACACCAGGACTCCAGACTTCTGGTGAAGTCTGGACCTAGGCTGCAAGGTTTTCCCTTACCTCACACCCCCCCGGGTACCTGACAGGGCGCTGGCCACAGTCCTATGAGGTTGTGAGGATCACTTATACATCAGGACTCTTTGTTTTCCTCACTTTTACTAAAGTGTGAGGATGTCCTATGACTCAAGGTTCTCTCATAACCACTTACAGTGGTTGCTCTAAGGCATGACTTTGCACAATATAGGCCAAGTCTTGAGGAGGAAAGGAGAGAGAGAGGCAGGCACTGGTGGGTGGGTGAGCAGAGGGGAACAGGATCAAACGACTCAGGATGGCACGGAAAGGAAACAGAAATCCTGATTAAGTCATTTGGGCTGTATTTTTGGCCACAGTATCGAGGCGAGCACCTTGAGAACTTCGATCATTATAGATGGGCCAAGAATTCAATTAAGTATAGTTTTGCTTACAGAAATAAAGAGTAAGTATACTTACAGGTACCTTCATTTTAAAGTCATCTCTATTGAATTTGAAAGCGATGTCGGAGAGGGTCCGCTGGAAGAACCCTGTCGGACGCAGAACAAGGACAAGCTGTAGGTTTGCTGGAAAAGATGCCTGCAAGAAACAATGGCGGTGATCAGAGGCGCCATCAATGGACGATCATGGAGACCACAGCTAGGGGACTCTCAGGTGCCTGCAGCTGGACCGCATGGCCAAAAGCTCCAAATGCGGAGGGTCCAGCTGAGATATTTCAACACTTCAACTTTATGGTAAAATGAAAATGGCCATACAACGGGGGGTTCAAAAAGTTCTTGGAATAGTACAGTGAAAATGAAAAGATAATGGAATCTCTCCATGAACTTTCGGATGCCCCCTCATATACACTGTGGTAGTTGTTTGTTGCTAACTGCCGTTACGTTGGATTCGGACTCAAACTGATTCTGTATAGGGTTTCCATGGAGCGGCTGGTGGGCTTGAACCATGAACCTTCTGGTTAGCAGTCCAGTACTTATCCTACAGCACCACACCAGTACTCCTCATACAAGCAGCATAACATGGTTGTACCAAGGAATGGGACTTTTTCCTTTCCTTAAAAAAAAGTTTCCAGGAGGGAGTTTAGTTTCAGAGTGTGAGGGCATAGTTTTCATCTTGTCTAGGTGGGTCTGGTGAAGAGATGGGGATAAGATTCTTATGATTCAATAGTGAGTAATTGTTATCATGACT